CTATCATTCTGTACCAACAGAAGGGGAGGGGTGGTTCCCTGACAAAGGGGCCTGTGAAGTGGCTCCAGAGACGATGTCTGTATGGGGAAGTATTGGAGCTTGGAGAGTGGGCCCTCACTTCTCTCCCCTTGCTTTGCAGGCCAGAGGCACCCAATGAGTTCTATGATGGAGACCATGACAACGACAAGGAAAGCGATGTGGAGATTTAAGAGCAGCTGGGCTTGCTGTGCACCAAGGAATTCCTTTTTACCTCTTGATTGGGTGGGTGGGAAAAGGTGTGGGTCCCCCAGCTCTGGAGTGGTCACCTTCACTGGTTTTACCAATCGATGCTGGGGGACTGTTTGGAGGTCACATCTTATTCTCAAACCAAGTATCCTCTTTCTTCTCCCTCCCAAGGCCTGACAATGGTACCTATTTGAGATTGGATGGGGACAGAGATAGCTATCTCTAGAACATCTTGGGCACTGGGCCCCAGATGCCAGTCCCTGCCCGTCTTGCCCCTTTACTCCTTACTGGCCATCCTCCAACCCTGAGAATTTTAGGGGTGAAGGAATAATCAGGACTGAGGTTGCCTCTGACTTCTGCTTCTTCTGGCTCTCCTACATAGGCCTTGCTTCCAGTGCAGATGAAGAGTGAGGGATTTTAGGGGGCTTTGGTTCCCTAATACCTTAGACCCAAATGATGGGAAGTATGTTTTTTGAGTTGGGGGAGGATGTGAAAATGTCCTGTTCTGACTTTTGTCTTTATGTCCATTTTACCACTGTTTTTATCCAATAAACCAAGTTGGTATTTTTTGTACCTTTTGCCTTTCTGGGTAGTCTCAATTTTTGCTAGCTACCTGTGTATGAAGGGAGAGGGAATGGGAGTGACGATGTATGTAATAAAAATCACAGTTGATATTCACTTAGCACTCACCATATATTAGGCCCTAGGTCTGTACCTAGGTATGGATTATCTTGCTCCTGTAGGGATTTAATAGAGTATTCTGGTTGAGAGCTAGACCAGCAGTCTCCAACCTTTTTGGCACCAGGGACCATTTTTTCCATGGGGTCGGGTTGGGGAAGGAAGAGGCGGAGCTCAGGCCAGCTTCACTGCCACCCAGTTCCCAACAGGCTATGGACTGGTACCACTCTGTGTCCTGGGGGTTGGGGATCCTTGAGCTAGACAAACCTAGACAGATTACTAGTTTAAGAGACGGAGTAGAGACCCTGGCTGGTGTAGCTCAGTGGATTGAGTGCGGGCCTGCAAACCAGACGATTGAGGTTCGATTCCCAGTCAGGGCACATGCCTGGGTTGCAGGCCAGTTCCCAGCAGGAGACTCACGAGAGGCAACCATACATTGATATTTCTCTCCTTCTCTCCTTCCCTTCCTCTCTAAAGATAAATAAATAAAATCTTTAAAAGAAAAAGAGGGAGTAGAAGACAACTTCAGATCTTTGCACCTGCATGTTTGGAATGGTGGTGCAAGTTGGTGAAGATGCACTGGGAGAAATCATGTCAAGTGCTTACTTAATTAGCACAGTGCCTCGTTCCCCATTATCGTAACTGTCTATGTGAAGAAGAATGCCAGCAGTTGCAGACACAGGCCCTTCCCTGAAGGGGATTACAATGCAGTAAGGGGTGAGGTAAATGCTATAGCAGGTGTGGATGGTGTACAAGAAAAGAGTAACGGACAGGTGACTTTTCTGTGCTTTGACCCTGATTCTCAATACTGTATCTTATAAAGCATGTGGCTTTTGAACTGTTTTGGACAAATTTGAGTTCGAAGTGTGCGCTGGACAGCTCTATGCAACTCTCCTTCAGGCAGTTAGAAAGTGGAACTCAGAGGTGAAGGCTGGATTTAGGAGCCAGACAGGTTGGCAGCGTCCCTGTAATCTTACCAAGCCCCAGACTGAGCATAGGAGGGGCTATGGAGGGAGTGAGTCACTGAGTCTTCCCTCCAGGAACATAAATTGCCAGCTCCGGGTGAGGTGATTCAGTCCATACCTTGAGGGCCCACTGGGTGCCGCATACTTTGTCCTCAAGGAACAGTTGTAGCTGGGAGAACAAAATTAGAGAGAAATCAAACTATAGAGCAAAGAACATAATCTTGGAAAATACCTGTTGTTTTCACTCAAGTTTGGTTTATGTCCATAGGGAATCCTGGTGAAACATGGGACTTGGCAGTTAGATTAACCTGGCTTTAAATAATCTAAGGGGAAGGGAAGGAGAGAGGAGAGAAAATCGTTCCCTAGCTACACCAGCCAGGGCTTTAAATTTTTTATCAATTACGTGTCCTTGGGCAAATCACTTCAACTCTCAAAGTCAAAATTTCTTGGAAACTATGACATGGCATTGTGAGGATTCAGTGAGGAAATAAGTGTAGAATATTTTATATAGCTCCTGGCTTAGTGCAAGTGCATTGTAAATGCATTGTTTAGGCATTTATTAGACTTATTACTGTTTAGGCACACATTGGCAAGAACTAGTGTTCCTGTATTAGAAACACAACTAGGAAGTAGCAGACCTAGGATTCCAAAGTAGGTAATTATCTGCGGGCAGAGGATGCTTCAGTAGCTTTGTGGCAGAGCGGGGGGCTCCTTGCTGCAGCATCTCATGGACCGTGTTGTGGTGTGGCTGATCTCACTGGTGTCTGGTACCCAGTGCAGGTCCTGTGGATGGGAGACCTCTCACCCTTCTTGACCTGTGTGTGGGTCATACCAGAACCCACTACTGAAGTCTGATCTTTGGTCTCCACTTTCCTAGGTGGTGAAGTTCCTGGGTTCAGATGTAGCTAGTCTCACCTGGTGGGTGTCTGTGGGCCACTGATATACTGCTGGGAGCACCTAATTGTGCCAGGTGGCATCTCTATGTTGCTTGGCCACTTACTGTTGCTCTGGGGACGTTCTTCAAGGTGGTTTCCATTGTCATTGCTAGGACTGCAATGACAAAATACCATAGGCTGCACATCTTAAACAACAGTAAAGTTTTTTCTCTCACTGTCCTAGAGGCTGGAAGGCCAAGGTCAAGGTGTTGGCAGCGTTGATTACTTCCAAGACTTCTCCTTGAGTTGCAGATGGCAGCCTTCTCAGTGTGTACTCAGTGGTCATCCCTCTTTGTTCATACATACAAATGTATGTATGAACTCTTCCTCTTCCTGATGACTCTTCCTCTTCTTTTTTGAAAAGGCTTATTTATTTACTTTTACATATTTTTTAAATTTTATTTATTTATCTTTAGAAGGGAAGGGAAATATCAGTGTATGGTTGCTTCTGGTGCATCCCCTGCTGGGAACTGGCCTGCAACCCAGGCATGTGCCCTTGATGGGGAATTGAACTGTGATCTTTGTTCGCAGGCCCGTGCTCAATCCACTGAGCTACACCAGCCAGGGCTCTATTTATTTACTTTTATTTATTTTTTAATATTTTACTTATTTATTTTTAGAGAGAGGGGAAGGGAAGGAGAAAGAGTGGGAGAGAAACACCAATGTGTGGTTGCCTCTCGTGAGTCCCCTGCTGGGGACTGGCCTGCAACCCAGGCATGTGCCCTGACTGGGAATCGAACTGCGATACTCTGGTTCACAGGCCCGCGCTCAATCCACTGAGCTACGCCAGCCAGGGCTATTTATTTACTTTTAGAGAGAGGGTAGGGGAGAGGGAAAGAGGGAGAGAAACATCAATGTACCAGAGATACATTGATTGGTTGCCTTTCACACGCCCCCAACCAAGCATCTGGGCTGCAACCCAACCTTGTGACCTGACAAGGAATCAAACCGGCAACCTTCCAGGTCACAGGCTGGCACTCAACTCACTGAGCTACAGCAGCCAGGGTGACTACTTTTCCTCTTTTCATAAGGAGACCGGACAGATCGTGTTAGGGTTCGTCCTTACGACTTCATTATAATCCAATCATCTCTTTAAACACCTTTTGTACATTTAAAGGTACTGGGTGATGGGACTTGAACAGGTGAATTTGGGGGAACCTCATATGGCCCATAGCAGTTCTCTTCCCCTTGGTGTGTCTGGCCTTTCTCTTCCTGGACCATCCCAGGACTCTGTTGAAAGCCCCTTGGCCACTTCTACCAAAACACTGTGCTGTGTGGTGCTGTCTAGGGATCAGGAACAGAGAAGACAGGTGCCAAGCAGGAAAGAAGTCTGGGAAGTCTGGGGCTGCAGTAAAAAAGCCCTTCCAGAGAGTGTTACAGGCTCAAAGCCCCACGTCCGTGCTGAAGCTTGACCCAGGCAGGTGCAGATGTTTCCCAAAGTGCCACAGTCAGGTACTAGGACAGCTGGGCATCCGGCTGCAAGAAGGTATGAAAGAAATGCTTATGCAGAAAGTTGTCCAGGTACAGAGCACTGCAGAATGCCAATACCCTTTGTGTAAGAAAGGGGAGAAATTATATTTGATTTGTATCTGAATAAAAATCTCAGCAAAGATGGATGCACAAAGAAGCAAAATAAAGCTAGGTAATCTTAAATCCAGAGCTTGTCAAGTTCCACCTAGCACTTGCTCTACCAAGCTCTGTTCTTGGCACACAGCCTTTAATACAGGATAGCTGTCACTTTTTTTTTTGTTCCTTCTACATGCTCCATGGATACTGCATGCATGAAAACTGTATTACCCTTGAACGCCCACCATTAGTACATTTTTTGCCAAGATAAGTCTCTCCTGCAATTTTTGGTTCAGATATTATCCGGTCTAGGGTACGAGAGGGTCCAGGCTTTACAGCCACGTGGGCACTGCCTGGGAGTGGGGAGGCCTGCGCGGCTCTTTGACTGCCAGGGGGCGCTGTTCGCAGTTGAGGCCAAGTAGAGGTTGCACCGCCCACTCGTCACTCCCTCCCCCCCACGTGAGTCTGAGTGGTTAGGCCCGCAGGGCAGGTAGCGCGCTTCCGTGGCTTCCCTCCACCCCCCTCCCTTCATTCATTGGTAGGGGCTGCAGATCCGGGCGGAAGTGGGGCAAGCGGGCGGGAGCGAGGCGTCACCGTTGTATATTCATGAGGCGCGCGCAGCCTGGCATGCTAATGAGGCGGGGCGCGGCGGCGGGCTAAGTAGCTGCTGGGCGGCGGCGGCTGCGGGCTCGGATCAGCCGGGCGGGAGCAGTGTAGGCGCGGGGTCACCAGCCAGCGCGAAGCCACACATGGAGCCGCCCGGTGGGGGTCTGGGACCCGGCCGCGGGACCCGGGACAAGAAGAAGGGTCGGAGCCCAGATGAGCTGCCGCCGGCGGGCGGCGACGGCGGCAAATCCAAGAAATTTGTGAGTGTCCTTTCCACCTGGTTCCCTCAGCCCGGCCCGGTTACCGTCCTGTGGACCCCGGAGATCCCCGCAGTCGGCCCCAGAGATGCACGCCTGTCTCTAGGGAGCCGCCTCCGCGCCTCCCTTCCTCGTTTTGTTGGGTCTTGGGCTCTACAGCGCGACCTCCTACCCCTCCAGGACCTCGGGGAGCACGGCGTCCCACCCGGCGCCTGTCCCAGCAACCTCGGAGCTTCCTTCAACCCCCAGCCCGCGCGCCCTACCCTTCGCCCCCTTAGCCCGGGCGGGTCTCAGCCCCATCTCTTTCCTCTCAGCCCCACTTCCTTTCTTCTTCCTCTCTCACCCGAACACGCCTCCTCTATCTCGGTCCTCTGTGCTTTTCTGAGTCCATTTTCTCCTATTACCCTTACTTCGCTTTTTGGTATTTGATTTGCTTCTCCTAAAGGTCATTTCCTTCTCCATGATTGATCGTTTTCACCTGCTAACTTTCCTACTGCCCAGCCCTCTTTCTGGGCCCTCAGCCCGGTGTCACCTAATAATCCTTCCTCTCAGGAATGTTACCTGGCTGGGGCCCTACCTTCCCTCCTCCCTTGGACGTTTGTCCTAGCGATTGATTGCCGGAGTGGGTTCATGCCGAGGTCCTTTGGTCACTGGGCATGACGTTACTTTTCCTCCCAATATTTCTCAATCCGTCCCTTTACCCTGTTGCTTATCACTTTTCAGGGAGTTAGAACTGCTCATGATTATGCCCTTCTTGGCCTAGGATGATGATAAACCTCCCCCCATGGGGAGGAGGTTAGACTGCAAGTCCAAGAAGTTTGTGAGTAATTGAATTGCATTCTTTACATTTCCCACGATAACCATGTCAACTCTTCTGTCACCACCTGTGCCCACCTCCTGGCATACCTTTTCCTACCTGTAGAAGAGTATAGCTTCTTCAGGTGCCCATTACTTCCAATCGGAATCCGAAGGAATATTGATACTCACGTAACCCTCTCATATTTCATTACCTTTGCTCACATTAAATCTTTTTTATTCCACTCCCCAGGGAGCTATTTGTTTGCTTTGTATTGTAAAGCTTTGAAAGTTATGGGACACTGTCCAAGAGAGGGAAGGGGTCTTGCATCTTGATCATCACTTGCTCCTTTTAACTGTGGTTATTTAGTCCTCTCTTCCAGGTAGTTCTGCCCCCTACCCCAGTATCTCTTTCTGCTAACCAAATGGCTTCTCTTTCCTCTTCCTCTTTTCTCATACCCCATCCCTTAGCATTTTGACCCACCCCTATGAATTTGGGAAGAAAATTGATAAAGTGACAGAATGAGTAAGAAAATATTGCTTTGGGACCTAGAGGATTGAGATGTGAAGAGTACTAAACAGAATTAAAATAGTGACTCATCTCTTCCTACAGATTTCTAGCAAGGCAGGTGCTTTTGGACTGTCCTTTCCAGTGACTTACAGGCTGTCAGAAACTTTTGATCTGGCAGGACATCTTTGTCCCCAGATATGTAGGGTTGATGGTAGTGATGACCCTTCTCTATGGTAACTAAATCGGCATTTCCCTGTGTTTCTTTAGGTTAAGAATTGGTCTAGGCAGAGAGCTTTCTTTCTAGGACTGGAGGTCTAGGGCCTGAACTCCTTCTGTTCCTGTATCTGATTGTTTTGGTTTTGTTACCAAGGGTACTGTTTGACCTTCCTCACCCAATCCCAGCTATTCCTGCTGATTTATAGTGACCTCTGTGACTTGTAAATATTTTTCAAGTCCTTTATAGAATTTTATATGTGCTTTTTGTTTGACGTAACACTTGTGTGTTTCACAAATGTGTGAAATCTATTAAGTGCAAGCGGTGCTAAAAGGTGAGATACCTGAGGAAATGACTTCGTTTCACCTGTTTTTTTGGAATGCCCCTGAAGTCTTGTATGTGCTGAGTGGTTTGGCTCAGAGTTGCTGGCATTTGCTTCAGAGAGGGTGGAGCTGAACCAAGTTCTCTTTTTCTTCTGAGGTGTTGGTCTTAACCCTTAACTTGCTGAATTAAAAAAAAAAATGCAGCACAGGGAGGGAAGAAGATTGCATTTTTCCAGGAAAGTAATGCTGTTTAACCCCTTTACTGCCAACCGTAACATACCCCAAGGCATCAGAATATTCTGTCTTCCTCATTGATCTTTTCATGAAAACCCTGGAGGTGAGAGACCAGAGGAGCGTTGCAGTTCAGTTCTCTTTGTGTCAGTGTATGTATCCGTGGGTGAGGGAGTGGGTGAGATTGCTGGTGTGCTTTTGTCACCCATGGCTTTGCTTTCTTGAGCTACTGGCTGAAAGTGAACTCCAACTGTTTCACCTCCTCTGTATTTCTCGAGTGTGTGTCCTCTGGAGCTCCATTAAGAATGTTGCACAGGTTTTAGTGTGCCCAAAGGTTATTTGTTTGCATCTGAGGGGTTATTAATCCCTTTAGCTGCTACCTTTCTTTCCAGGCTTATTCAGGTTCTAAGTACAGTATAGATCAACTGATGATAACACGGAACTCACAAATTGCCTAAGATCTGCTCTCTGAGGCATCTCTTCTCTCTGAGGCATCTTGTGTGGCAAGGAGATGGACTGTAAGTTGAACAGTGGTTGGGCATCTTTTAAAAATGTGGTTGTAAGAGATGGTGATGTGTGGCTGTAGCCGGGCTGCCTGGTATTCCCCCTTGGTTCTTCATGAGTCTGTCTTCTCCTGGGCCAGGAACATACCCTTTCTCCAGCTTTATTCTGGTTCCTTTCAGAAGTCCTTAAGATAAAGGAAAATAAAAATTCCAAATGAACTATGTTTTCTGACTTTTCAGCAGTGGTGAATGTGGATGCCAAATAGACTTGTTGGGAACTTCCCTGCCTGGTTTCAGGAACTGTAACCCCTCATGGCTAAGGCTGAGTGAGAGACCTTGGGACCATAAGCCATTAAAGAGACAAACCTTGTCTCCCTGGCAGGGGCCCCACCTCTGCCCCCTTTTACTTCACCCTGCTTGGCCCAAGCAGATGACAGGTTAGCTAATGACGGGTAAGATTCCTCAAAGGAGGGCCAGTCTAAGACAGGCATGGTTGCAAAGGGGGTCCTCAGGGAAGAAGGGGGCGGGGTATAGAAAAAGGGGGTGATGGACCTTTGCCCTTTGGCTTTGACATAGCCTGAGCCTTTATTCTGTCTGGGAGAAGTCTCCTCATCTCTTGGCTGCCTTACTTTCCCTGCCTGACTTAAGCCTGAAATAATGTCGGAGGTGGATAGGGCCTGTGCTGGAAAGAGTGGGTTCTGTGGGGCGATCAGGCCTAAAAAAAGAATGCATAAAATCCTGTGAAACTTACTTTGCTAACACACTCAATTTAAATAAGATTCCAAGCATGAAATGAGTTTGTTCCCCAAAGTTTTATGGCCCTTTAGCTATCTGACCCTGACTCAGAATAAGCCCTCAGAGTTTTTGGAATGTTACCTATTGTTTGATCATTACTGCATGACAATGATTGATGAGCCTTACATATACGTGGCTATACCCTGTATTCCTATACAAATTAAGTCCAGTAAAAGCCCACTGAAGAATAGGCTTCTGATCCTTCTTTGAGAGATCAGCCACCTTTCCTCCCCAAGCAGATCTTGTCTTGGTAGATGTATTCTCATCCACGGGAGCTGGGGGCAGGCTCTGCAGGCAAATCTCCCCCACATAGACTGATTTTTTTTTAAATTTTTTATATTTTTTAGAGAGAGGAGATGAGAAGGAGAAAGAGAGGGAAAGAAATATCAGTGTTTCTTGATGGGATTGCCTCTTGCGTGTCCCCTATGGGGGACCTGGCCTGCAGCCCAGGCATGTGCCCTGCACTGGGAGTCAAACCCGCAACCCTTTGGTTCACAGGCCTGCACTCAATCCACTGAGCTGCACAGCCAGGTGATTTCTGAAATATGTAAGAGGATTAAGTATAATCAGGATGTTGGGAGACTGCAAAGAATTCCTGCATCTTATAGATTCCATGTCTCCTCATATAATCAAGAAATTGATACATTTTAAGAAAGAATATTGTTCCCGGATTCAGCTAGGAGCATACCTTTGTAAAACATGAATTTCAGCATGGCAGTAGAGGAGAAAATAGATGATAGTTTATAAATCTTGTTTAATTATGGATGCCTCTGTTGAATGGTTACCAGGTCGCGGTTTGATGCCCTTCTAAAAAGAAAGCGATAGTGAAAGTATAAATGTTTAGTTGTGGATCCCTGTCCAAAACGACAGCAGCCATAGGTGAAGGGTGCCAGGCAGGATTTAAAGCAGATACTAGGAAGGTAGAGAATGTTAAAGGAGTGGAGTTGTTCATGAAGATTTCTGCTTCTCTCTCTCAAAGGAGATCTTAACTTTGATACAAATGGTCACAGAAAGCTTTATACAAGTTATGTGTTTTCTTTTTTGAAAGATGATAAACACAGGGATTATTACTTAGTTTAGAAAAATGGGAGAGGAGCCTACAGGAATGTTATTGAGATGCTTGAGATGACAGGGCGATACCTTAAAAATTTCTGCCCTGCTTCCCACCTCATCTTTAGAGACAAGGATTTACTTGAGGATGTTACATAATCTTGTCTCAAAGGACACCCTCAGGGAGTGCCTCGTAATTAATGTCCCTGCCTTGGGGGAGTTGGTAAACGTTGGGATGCTTTTATAAAAAGAGTTGAAAATGTTACTACTTATAAATTATGTTTATTATAAAAACTAGGAGAATAGCAATAAGCCAGAAGTGGCTTAACTTTGTTGATGGGCATATGGGTCAGAAAAGGCTCATTTTATTTCCCGCATGAATAACCTCTTGTTATTCCCTGGGGCCCTTGGTGCATTTTATAAATGGAATGCCAAGTTATTCTTGGAGAGTGTTATATTTTCAGTGGAATGTAATAGAGGCTTAAAAGATAAGGTTATGCCACATATGATTTAGGAGGACAGGTTACAATCGTGTTTATTAATAAGAAATACTAGGTGTTATACAAGGTTTGCATATGCAG